GAGGAAATACATTTCTCTTTGTTAAAGCCATCCACTTGTGGTATTTCTGTTATAGCAGCTCTAGATAACTAAGACAGCTGTAATCATTACAGGAGAGCTCAGCAGGTCTTTTCTCCTGCAGAGCTGCTGGGTGGGTTCAAACCCCTAACCTTTAGGTTAGCAGCTGAGCGCTTAACCGTTGTGCCACCAGGGCTCCTTTTATACAACGTAATGTGAGCTATAACAGAGGAAAGGTCCTGGTACTATTTGGAACATGTTAGGAGGGGCATTGTATTCAGGGTCCCAGAGCTAATGCCATCCCTTAAGAATCCCTTCAGAAATTAAGACTGATTCTGAGCGTGGATTTAACTGGAAAACTGAATCAGTAACACGAAAGGTAGCACAGATGAGTATGTTCAGATTAAACAGACGTCTCTTACAACTCCTCACATTCGTTTAATTGTATATATATGAGTGTAAGTTTTTAGATTTGATTTTGAATAAAAATGTCTGTAAAACTATTATGGTAAAAGAAATAAGCAGTCAAATTGTACTAGTAAGGAGCAAAAAATAATTCATAAACATCATTCTACCTAAAAGTGCACCTCAATATTGAAGCATATCTGATCTCTTAGGCTTTTATTAGAAAAAACTCTGAAAGATAAGGCACAAATTACAATCTTACTTAATATTACCAAAGTTTAATGCAAGTTCCTATTGATTCCTCTTCACTAAACACAATTCAGAAGATAATTTTAAGAGGGGCATTATTTAGAGTTTGGATCCAGGGGGAAGAATGTTATGATAGTTTGAAGGGGAAAAAATTTTGAACAAATAAAAGAATGAAACAATTTCATATTGTAGAATGATGTGAATTACTATATCTAATGCATGTTAGTTTACTATGGCCTATTTTTAATTGAAATACTATGCATATAATAAAAACATAATAAAATTAGTATAAAACTATCTTTATTTCAGAACTAGAGGGGACCTTAGAGATGAATGAACGGGTTAAACTTAGAAATTAACCAGTTCAGACTACCAAACTCTCCAAATGTTTCTGTTGTTTCTAGCTGCAGTTGAGTTGATTCTGACCGACGGCAACCCCATGTGTGCAGCGCAGAACTGCTCCATAGGGTTTTCAAGGCTGTGACCTTTCAGAAGCAGATTGCCAGGTCTGTCCTCCAAGAGGGAAGACTGTGCTTGGTTTCTTCTGGGGCAAAAGGGAATGTGTTAAAGAAAGTGTTGTGGAAAAAAATATTTTACAGTAGCTAAGGATGCAATTAAAACTCTGCTGAAATTTTTATTTATGTTAAAACACTGCAATGTACCTCAAATTACTTGATATGTCTATAGCTAAATTAATTTAGCCAGTGCTAAGCTTACAGGCTCTTTGAGGGTTCCTAAAACTATTTCTTAGGAACATAGATGACTTATCTTGTCAGCTATTTTAAAACTCAGGACCATGCATGTTTCACTTGTGCATGAGAGCAGCAGGATAGCCTGGGGATTCAGAATCTGGGTGGTGGAGTTAGACTTCCTGGGTTCAAATCCTAACTCCCCTTGCTGGCTGTGTGACCTTAGGGAAGCTACTTAACTTCCTTTGCCTTTGTTTCCCCATATGCAAAGTGGGGAGAACAGCAAATACTTACCTTATGGGCTGTTAAAAAAAATCAGACAAACCAAACCCATTGCTGTTGAGTCAATTCCAACTCATAGCAACCCTATAACCTGTTACCCACTGCTGCTGAGTTGATTCTGACCCATAGCGACCCTACGTGACAGAGTAAAACTGCCCCATAGGGTTTCCAAGGAGCAGCTGGTGGATTCGAACTGACGACATTTTGGTTAGCAGTCGAGCTCTTAACTGCTGTACTACCAGGCCTCCTATGGGGCTTTTAGGAGGGTTAAATAAATTAGCACACATAATTCACTTGTGCAGGGCCTGGCATGTCGTTTTCAAGTGTTAACTGTTAGTAGTAATAAACTCATTTCTTCCGAGGAGAGGCGCCCTGGTGGTACAGTGGTAAAGAACTTTGCTGCTAACCAAAAGGTTGGTAGTTTGAATCCACCAACTGCTCCTTGGAAACCCTATGGGGCAGTTCTACTCTGTCCTACAGGGTCGCTGTAAGTCAGAATTGACTCAGCAGCAATGGGTTTGGTTGTTTTTTTTTTATATGCCTGAAGTATTTCCCATGGGAGATGTAATTATTCTGCGAGTTGTGGCTGAAAATGCCACCATGTTGAAACCAGAAAACAGCATCTTTGGGTTCAAAGTGAAAAGTAACTGAAAGCTGAGACCTACACTGCTTTTTGGTTGGTGAGAGTTCTAATTCACAATACAATAGTCCCAGATAACAGATCAAACCTGCGTGTCTGGTTTTGAAAGGCTCCAGTGAGCCCAATGAATGTAGCTTTAGCTACTGTACCAAAACCAGATATATTTATTTAATCAAGATGGGAATTACGGGTTTGTGATATTCCAAGAAGCAATAAAGTTTCTATTTTCATGTAAACGATCCAAATAAACACCAAGGGTAGCAAACCAGAAAAATGCCCCAAAGAACAGAAGAATGGCTTCTAAATAGATAGCTTTCTCTAAGTTTCATTTTAAGCAACAGAAATGTATTTAACTACATTATTCTCCACTGAGACTATTAAAATAGTTTTGTTATTGCTGTCGGAATGGGATTTCAGATCCGTTCAATTTTAAGGAATTGACTGAAATTCAAATCACAGATCGGGTGTATTTTCGATGGTGCTATGTACACTGTGCAACATTTAGACTGATTATGACACTGAATAGCTGGATTCAGAGACTTTAGTTAGTAATATTAAACCAGAGAGGCCAAATTCATTTCTCAGATATGTTCATGAATATCTCTAAAATTATCATGAGGCTTGATGATTGAAAAACTTTCCCATTTTCTCATTGTTCGTTGGTGATGTAATTTAGATCAGATATATATTTAGGATACAAGAGCATCACAGTTATAAAACCATAAAGAACCCTAAAAGGCAGTTGGTCCAATGTTCTCAATTTTTAAGTAAGAAAATAGGCCCAGGAGAAGCAGGGGAAGATAGCGGTCAAAAGACCTGAAATCTAGTCTCAGATTTGCAATTTATTCATTGTGTGACCTTGGGAAAGTTCTTTAACCTCTCTAAGCCTCCGTTTCTTCATCTGTAAGATGGGGATAATAACTGTACTAATCTCATAGGTTATGGTAAAGATTAAATGAGATAAACATACAAGGCCTTCAGCACAGAGTCTGGCCCATCATAACTACATGCAAGTATCAGTAGTTATATCTATTATGACTAAAAAGTGACCCTTAAGACCAGAAGAATGAACAAATCAGTCTTGGAAGAAATACAACCAGATTGCTCCTTAGAAGTGAAGATGGTGAGACTTTGGCTCGCTTACTTTGGACATGTCATCAGGAAAGACCAATCGCTAGAAAAGGACATCATGTTTGGTAAAGCAGGAAGTTTAAGCAAAAAAGAGGGAAACCCTCAATGAGTTGGACTGACACAGCAGCCACAACAATGGAAAGATCAAACATACCAAAGATTATGAAGATGGCGCAGGAACAATCTGCGTTTCATTCTGTTATACATAAGATCGCCAGGAGCAGAGCCGACGCAACGGCAACTAACAACGAGGCAAGTTTATAGAAACACAACTAGAACTTAGCATTCCTCACACATATAAGAGTTTTTTTCATCTAAACACCGTACCTGGGATAAAAATTCATTGGTACTGACAATTTAAGTATAACTCTACATTGAACAGAAGTATAATGATTTCAGTCATTTTCCTATTGACTAAAATATTAAAATCAGCGATCATAAACAAAGGTCTTAATTTCATGAATATTCATACATAGTTAGCTTTCCAAGAAGGATAAATATTTCATGTTTACCTTCATAAATGTTTTAGTTCAGTTATATGCTTTTAAATATTTCCCACCAAGTTCCTATAAAAGTAATGCCACAAATAAAATCTAGAGTTCATCTGCTAGGGACCTTAGGTTTGGCTTTGATTAGTTGCTATATGAAATCAGCCTGATGCTCTCTTAGACCTTTTTTTGTTGTTGCTGTTCTCTGTTGGTAGATGCCATCGAGTCACAGTGGCCCCATGTGACAGAGTAGAACTGTCCCATAGGATTTTCTAGGCTGTAATCTTTATGGGAGTAGATTGCCAGGTCTTTCTCCCAGAGTCGCTGGGTGGATTTGAACTGTCAACCTTTTGGTTAGCAGCCTAGTGCTTAATTGTTGCGCCACCAGGGTTCCTTCAGCCTGACATTCTTAACTTGTACTGTTAGTCAGATAGCTCCATATCCTCTGTACATCTACTATGAAGGAAGGAAGAATAGGGAACACATGAAAGAAAACGCTAACACAGACCTGTAATATGGGTGAGATTAGGTCTGCTTGGCTAACATAGACACCTAGGAACCCAGTAGTGGTCACCAATCGCAGACATTTGCTATTTAGTCAACACTTACTGTCCTTAAATGGTTTAATTCATATTGAATTTTTTCTTATATTAAAAAAGAACAAAATAATTAAGAAGCCTCATAAAGACTATAAACTTTATATAATATGCTCCCAGTACTTCTCCATTTGATAATGTTTAGTCAATTGGAGGTCTTTTCTGTAAATATTCTCAGAACGCAGCTGGGTACTTAAAACATTTTCTTGTAATAAACTAAAGAGATCATTCCTCATCTAATCTGGAGAATGACCAATGTATATGGAAATCATTTTAAAGCTTTAAAAATAACTAACAGCAAACTCAATACGATATAAATATATCAAGACCTAAATCCTGGAACTACAGTGAGAAAAGTTCAAGTATAAACATGAACAAAATGAAAACACCTTTGCATGCAACACCAGTGTGATTCAGCAGACCAACAGATGGAGAAAATAGTTATTTGAAAAGTGGCAATTTATATCCATACCCAGTATTTAGTATTTCACCTACTAGGAATAAAATAGTTAGGCAAACCTACCCGCATTTTTGCACAAGCATCCTGGGTTGATTCTGTCCCCCTGAGCTCTTTTATCAGCATAGAACCTAAATACTAAAATAAAAAAAAGATTCAATGGTTTATGAGAAAGAGACCATAAATATCAGTAATGATTTAAAACAAATTATGAAATCCCAAGGTCTAAGTTTCCTGGCTGTAAATTGTTGCACAACTTTTAGAAGCTAACAGTAATCCTAACAAATCAATGCATCCATATGGAGAATGCAGCAGAATTAACCAAAAGTTCTGGGGGTAGTAAATTGCTCTTTATAATAAATTGCAGCATTTTCTAAAGATGTTATCTTTCAAATCGTGTTTAATTGCAAAATGGGGCATCTAAAAATGTTTTCCCTTTTTTTTTTTTTGAGGCAGCAATGTCTGCAAAAATCACACTACTATCTATGTAATTACAGGGTTGTATGAGACAGCTGAGAAGCTAAGCAACATGTACCCCATTTGGGCTTATTTGGTTGCATAGGTAATTAACGTTAGGCTGTTCTTAGGCGGAGATGCATTTTTGGACCTTTTTCATTCACAGCTGTGTGCCCTATGGTTACGCCACCTGAGAACAGGGAGGGAGGGGGGATAGGGAGGGAAGGTGTGATTCTCAGTTGTTTCATAACAGAGAAAGCTGAATCCCTGAGTCCCTGTTGCAAACTGACACTTGGAGGACCTAACAAAGGTAGGAGTAGGATGAGAGAGGCTAGGAAATACCAACCCTCCTGGAGGTGTAGTGGTTAAAATCTCAGCTGCTAACCAAAAGGCTGGAGTTCGAATTTACCAGCTGTTCCTTGGAAGCCCTATGGGGCAGCTCTACTCTGCCCCATAGGGTCCCTATGAATCAGAATCGACTCAACGGCAATGGGTTTGGTTGCTGTTAGGTGACTACTGAAATAAATCCAATGCTGCAAGGTAAGTAAGCAATAAGAGGAGCAGATAGCACAAAATGGGGAAAAAAAAAAAAGCCTAAATTGCTATGAGACCGCCCACATCGTCATCAAATTAAGGAATATGATCTTGGTGAAATCCTTATTTTTTAAGTTATTTCAGAAAAGTTTACCCTAATTGAAACATTTCTTATTAAGAGAAGCAGTTTCAATTCAATACAGAGGGTTTAGGTACTTTTTCCGTGGTAGTCATGACAACCACCACCTGCCACAAAGCCTACAGCATCTTTTGAACATTTACCTGTTCATATTACTCATAACTCTCAGCTAAGCATAACTGATTCCCCTTCTCTAAAAATAAAACAAAATAACAACATCATCAACAATAATCTAATCCTAATGAGGACAATGTAAAGAATTTATATAAAGTGGTAGACCCAACATTTTGAGATCATTGGTGAGTGGAAATGTATACATGTGCTGTATTTATACTCATTTTTGTTTTAAGACTGCACTTGACCACACCTCCTTTTTAAAATTACAACTATGTAAGAAGCCAAACCAGATCTTAAGCTTACAAGAACAAAAGGGTTATAAAGCTCTTTTTGAACTTTCTTTTTGGATAGGCAGCCGACTACCTTAAGAAAAAGAGAAGGGGAAAAAGAATTCAGGAATTTCAGTGTTGGACTTTTTGCTATAATTTTCATACAGAAGGAGACAAACCAAAAATATACCCTCTAGCCCCACCGGTACCCAAATACAGAAGACAGGGTAACTTACAAAAGCTTTGTAGTCACATGATTGGAAGATGAGCTTTTCTGGGTGGTGCTGCCAGTACTGTACTGGAGTCGAGGCTGTGGCTTCATTCGGAGGTCGCAACGTAATGGAAGGTTCTCCCCAGTCTCCTGTCTGAAAATCATATTTATTCTAGATGTAATACGAGCAATAGGCAAAGTTTATTCCCTACAGCTAGCCTGAGTTCATTTTATACACATGTGCTTATAAATGTACAAATGTGTTTGGTGTATTATATGTATATAAACTACTCTCACTCTTTATTACCCTTTTATATGTATTAGCATCATATTCCTCAAAGCTGAGTTAATCTTTTGAGGTGTGAAGAAGTTGAATTATTTTATTTTTAGCATGCCGCCCTGATGTAAGTGATTTAAAAATAAAACATGAAAATATTCATAAATGATTTACTAATTAATAGATGGTCTGATACAATAGAAAAGAACATACAATCTTTAAAAGAATTTTCTGTTTTTAAAACTGACTGTCTGAAATTTTTAGTTTGAGTTGCTTTTACACTCAGAAGTCATAGTTCCATTTCAATTCCCAAATATGCCATGTACCGTGTACTTTGGATAATTTTATATCTCTGGATAAAAGTTGCTGTAAGTTTGATACTAAACAAAATTTTAAAAGAAAAATTTACTCATGGATGACAACTAGTTTCTCTTATCTGAATTCAACTGTACTGAAATAATGCCACCATGACTGTCTTGGATGTATACAGCTACCCTCCTCAGAACATCTACAGCACCAATGAAGGCTAAACATTTAAACACCGAGTTTGATCCTATGTGCATATGCATGTATTTGAGGATCCTGAATTCACAAATACAAGCACAGTCACATATGATGATATATCATATAATATATATACCCACTAATACAGACAAACATTCCATCAGTTCATTTATTATTTTCCATGAGGTTAGCTCCCACCTGTTTTATTACTGTAACTGTTTAGTATGAGCATTTATAAAGTGAGAGGCCTGTGTTGGCAACTCTTTTCTGGGCTCTAGTCTAATTTACATATTACATAAGAGATTTCTTAATCTTTTCCTGGGTAAAGATTCTGATTTTTAAAATCTCAGTTCTTTATCTCAAATGGACATAAATAAAGCTCTGTAACAGGCAGATTTCCAAAGTTACTCTCCTCTTATCTGCATTCAGCTGGTTCTACAGAATTAAAGAGAAATTACCTTTTCTAGGAGTTGGAAGAATATAAAAAGGTCTCATATGCTCCAAAACCAAATAAAACCTTGGTTAGAGACCAACTGCCATAAAAGTATGAGCAAATGGGCTGGCACTTTGTAGGATTTTTCAATTTAGGATTTTCAAGGAGTTTGGGATGAGAATGTAAACTTTTGGATGGAGGTGTATGTTCATGGGGAGAAAGTCCATAAGTTCCATTAAATTCTTTGGAAGGATCTAGAACCACCCAAAGGTTAAGAACCACACTTCTCCAGGAAGGTTTAAATGGGGTGTGTCTTTTGGGGAGGAGGACCAGCATTTTTTCTGCACAGTTTGGACTTGTATTAGATGGAATATGAGTTGGCTACCAACATTGGTAAAGTTTTAGGCAAAGGTGTTGCCTTCTGGAAATTTCTTACTGGCTTTGAAGAACCAGAAGAAAATTCTAGGGTCCCTCAGAAATGGACAGGCCTTTTCATAGAGGTATACAGCCTGAAGGTTTTCTCCTTGAGATAGGTCACTCCCAACTGCAGGAAGAGCAAGGTTCCCATCATGCTATTTCCTTGGCTTCTCACTGGAGTGGGTGATGAGTCAGCACTCTTCCTGGCTCTTCTCTCATGCTCTATTCTGAGCTACTCTCCAGGTTAGTTTTTCTTTAGTTGATATACTCACATATTGTTTGATTCTCCTGTCTCCTGTCTGTTGCTGTTCTTAAGACTTTATCTGTAATATTCGCTATGGCATTTTTTTCTGTTTTATGAACCATGCCTAACTCCTCTGACTCTTGAAGTTTCCCTATTTATTTACATGAATTTTCATTTTGGAAAAGCAATTACAGACTGCAATCAGTTTGGGATTACATTTTTCTCTGGCTTCCTGTGTTGAATCTTTCTTTTCCTTCTCTTCTCAAACTTTTATTATCTCAACTGGCTGGGATGTCGCTAAAAAAAACTAGCACAAAATTCAAAATGTAGGATATGTGGATTTTAATGTTATTTGGAAGACAAGTGTTGTAACCTTTAAATGAAAAGAGCTTAAAACTCTGGAAACATGCAGCTATGGAATCCTAAAGAAAAGCTCTCCCCAAATCTAGCAAATCATCATCAATCCCCCATTAGCTTCCTCCCCGCTTTCCCCACTCCCTAGATAAAGCAACAACAACATAGCAAACAGGAATTGTACATTTAAGTCACAGGTAACACTGTTAACAGAACAACAGAAGTTTGAACGCAACGCCGTGGAATGATACAAAAGGAGGATCTGGTTGGCATCAAAAGATCCTTTGTTCCAGTCTCTGCTGATATATGACAGCTCAAACCAAGCGCTGATTCAAGATAGCCCTGATATAGTTTAGCGGAGGTATACCTTGGCCGAGCTCAACACGCAGTTTTCAAAAAAGCCTGAACAGACATGGCAAGAGCTGGGAGTACCACGGGTTGCAGGGGAAGGGTGAGGAATAGGGTTGAGGGTGGAGATGGGTCGGGTGAAGCTAGGGTTATGCGAACATTTCGCGTGTTAGTACATTAAGCATGCAAATCATATGCAAACTCATTCTCTAATTATTGAATTAACTCAGGCACTTTTGTAATTAAACTGCACTGTGAATTCCATACACTTAAAGCAGAACTACAGCCAAACGCTGGTCCAAATGTTGACATCATTCACATAAGTTGTAGCAACCATTTTGGGAATAACAAGCTCCAGCACATTCCACTTCAGCTTGGAAACCATCCCCATCTCCTATTTGATAACCACTTGAAGAAATTAGTGACACATTCTTTAACTGTGTAGCCATCATCTGCTCGCCTAGGTCTCGACTTTATCAAGAAACCACAAACCACCTGCTTGGAGTCCAGACTGATCTCACAGGGCTTCCCCTAGGTGCTATGGGGAGACATAATTATAGGGAAGAGAAATATAATCCTTATTTTATTTTCTTTGTGGCTCTGAAATATTGCTCCAGTCCAAATATCTTTAAATTCCCTACAGAGACTGAATCTACCTTTCTGGAAACAGAAACTGAGTTTTGTCATCCTCAGTGCTATTTCCAGAAAGTCATTCTCAAACAGAGGGATTCTTACGATTGAATTAATAAGAAAATAAATTTATTTTCTTCCTGGAAATTAATCAACTTCTTTTCTGTTTATTTGTTTTTTCGACCTCAGGTCTAAGAATATTTACAAGACTCAGCTTGCAGGTGTTGGTACTTCTCTGGAATTCATTTAATGGGAACAAATAGACTCAAACAACTGAACTTGGCTTTAAGCTATTGTACAGGACAGGTATAGCCTTGGCCCTTGGGTGAGATTCAGCTTTACATGACGAACTGCCAGTAAAAACAAAAGAGTTCAGAAGTCTCAACCCTCCTGGAGGCTGAATTATAATGGGAATAAGCTATGGGGAAGCTGGGTAGAGTAGTTACCAAAAAGTAAATAAAGGTTTTTGCCTAATACATAAAATAATTTTGAATTGTGAAACCTAATATTAGGTCTTGTCATATAGTACATTCATATCTATATAATATCTGCATTTCCTGAGGCAAATTTTTTTTACATTTAATAATTTTACAGTATACAAATATTTGTTAAAGATTATATAAAAATCAGAGTTTAAAAAAGTCTTCTGCCTCAAATAATGGTTTACAATCAAATGTTACCTTTAATAAAAAGTAGATCTAAACACTGGACGCAATATTGTAATAATATTTAATTACCATAACAAGATGGAGTAGGAAAAATTTGGGGTAAAATTCTGCTATATTTTAAATACTCCTTAAGATTCTAACTGACTGGCAGTGCTCTTTAGAGGGCTTCCTTAGGTTAATTACAGAAGAGAAATTAAAATGATCCAAAGGTACTTTTACTAATGTCTTCAGGCTTTTTCTTTAGAGCTTAAAATACTTAAAATCTTTATGTTCATGTACTTGGATGATCCTAACATTTCAAGAATTTGGGTATGGATTCCAAAACTGTTTGTTTGGTATTTGTTATTATTATTTTTTAAATATAAATACTTAAAGGCTTTTTCTAAGTCGTTTACAAACACATTAAAGGACATCAATTAAATAGAGGGAAAATATACATACATAATTAACTCCCTTCAAACTACTTAAATTCAAATAAAAATTAGCCTTTTAACGTAAAGGCAAACATAATTTGAGATTAGAGTTTTAAATGGAGGATTCTGTTTAACAGGTATTTACCAACTGCCTCCTATAAACTTAAAACCCAATGCCGTCGAATCGATTCAGACTCAATGCAACCCTATAGGTGGCACAGGGGTTAAGAGCTTGGCTACTAACCAAAAGGTTGGCAGTTTGAATTCACCAGCCCCTCCCTGGAATCCCTACAGGGTAGTTCTACTCTGTTCTATAGCGTCACTATGAGTTGGAACTGACTTGATGGCGGTGGGTTTGGTTTCTTTGGTTCCTATAAATTTAGAGTCTGGCTGAGTTGGAAATGCAGCTTTTAAACTTTGCATTATTTCTAAAGGTGGTAAACAGCTGTAAGATTTTAGTTCATCTATGCCAGACACCTAAGATAAACTCTAAAACATACCATCTCATATAGTCCTCCTCCCAGAAAAGGAAAATTGAAGATATTAGTATTCTATATATTCTGAGAATAAAAAGGGGGAAACCTTCTCTATGTTCTTATTTCCTTGTTGAGAAGAAAGTTTCCCAAGGATCTCAGTAAATAATTAAAAGTCATAATTATGACTTATCTTTCTAACATGAACAGAGAGGTATGGTATTTTCTAAGCCTTGTATTGTTCCTTTCAAATTTTTTAAAATTAGGATTTAGTTGATCTTTATTTCAATAGAAGCTTTTAAATCTTTTCTACTAGGAATTCTTCCCACCTACTTGTTTGTAAATTTAGATCTGAATATTAACAAACATTATTCTCTATTTCTTCAGAACATTTAATAAAAACTTTAATGATTTTCAATGACAACTATTTTAAGGTTTTACTTTCAATAATTCTGACCCATTTCAGAGATGGGCTACCCAAACATACATAAGATATATCGAATTGCATTACTTTCTATTATCTCTAAGGCATTGAAGAATGCTACATATATATTGTTGTTACATGCCGTTGAGTCAATTCCGACTCATAGCGACCCTATAGGACAGAACTGCCCCATAGAGTTTCCAAGGAGCAGCTGGTGGATTCAAACTGCCAACCTTTTGGTTAGCAGCCTGAGCTCTTAACCACTTTGCCACCAGGGCTCCTACATATATATAGCCCTATGTTCATAAATATGTATACATATATTTGGTTGTGAATGTAAGGAAAAGGCCTCCAACAAACATTCACACACTTGTGTAAGCATGATGTTATACCATATTTTTAAAAATCTTCAAGAATAAAGAATGCTAGTTTGGTCAAATGCAGTTGGTTATAGTAAATTTGTTCCTTTTGACGATAAAGAGCAGAGATGGCCACTTCTGAACACAGAAAAGTTTCAGTTAGTATTTATGGGTTCAGGAATAACTGCTGGGCCACTGGAGAACTGGTACCAGGCAGGCAATAACCCACAGAGCAGACTGGTCCCCACGAGCCACAAGTCCCATGCACAGGAGGAGGGGTGCACGTGAGGTGGCACCCCACCCGAGAGAGGCCCTTGCATGCCACCCTGAGATCTCTGCTCAGCGATTCTCAACCAAATGCCTCAACCTCTCAGCAATAGGGAAAGTTTAACAGAATGTGAAAACTGAATTGTGTATTAAAACAAAAGGTTAAAAAAAAAAAATTTACTTTCCAAACAAAACGGATTTTTTCTCGAGGTATATGAAGGTCAATTGTGAATATTAGAATATTAAGCAGCTCAGAGTCAAATGGGTCACAGTTTCACACACATTCCAAAGATCAATTCAATATCGTCAAGTGGAAAAAGGCTGAGAACCACTTCATAGCTGCAATAGTGCCTCTCCTCCTATACTCCTCCCATATTTGCATAAAATTTACATAGAATATCATGCAAATCATACTCAATTAATTATTTCTTACGAGTAAAGCACGTAGACCTTTGAGGATTATTAGACACAAAGGGTTGACTAGCCCATGGACATGGGGAAGGACAAAATGGCGGATAGTAACAGTGATATATACATATGAATATGTACGTATATATCAATTTACCCTTTTCCTTTTTCCTGTAAAAGCAAGTTAATACAGACACCTGGAATGAAAGCCAAAACTCACATGGGACAGATTTTAACTGTAGACTTTAAAACCAAGTATGCGTCTCATTTCAGAACACGTTTTGCACATCAACTGGTCACAAGGCACAGTAAGTGAAGTAGAATAGACAAAAAGAATCTCTGGCTCACTAGACATTACAAATTTTCTGCACTGCCAGGACATGATACCTATAGATTTTGACAACACTTTGCAGCACATTACGTAGCGTAAGTTCAGGAAAAAGAAATAACCATTTGTAACCTTACATTATGAACCTGATGGATCGCTGAGAAAGGAAATCCAGCGTTCTGATTCGTCCATATTTCACAGACAGACGACTGCTGGTATAAACAGAAAACTATCTCATCTTGTCAATATTTAAAACATGGCAACTACCAATGCAGCCTCAAGGAAAGGAAGGGAAGAAAATGATCAAAAGCAAAGGACCACGATTCTTAATAAAACCCCCCCAAAACGCTTTAGGATGTCCAAGGTTTTAATCATTCATTTCCAAATCTTTCTTTTCCCCTAAAAACATTTTAGGCTGGCTGGAAAAAAAAAAAAAAAACCATTTATGCATTAGTTCAAGGGAAATTACCAATAAATTCACATTTTGGAAAAATAAAAACACAAACTATTGCACATTTGCCAAAGAGATCAGAAATACTCTCCCTCTTCACACCATTAATTTCAGAGGATGAATATTTTCATTAAGTTCAAGAAAGATAGGGAAAAAACCTTCAACACAGGTTAACCAATTTTATTTTCTTATCTTCAGTGACTAAGAGCAAACAAGGCAATAAAATGACTTTCCAGATTTAGGCATTGTTCCATTCTATAAATCTAGAAGGTATTTATCGTACTAGAATTCCTGAGGGCTAAACTCTGGTTAGCAAAGGGAGAAGTGTCAGTTTGCCACCCAGCTGTACGAGTGTGCGGTGGCAGGAAGGAGGTTGGAATAAGGAGGCATTGGGGCCAGGAAGCTCAAGTCTGTTACTCAAGCAGAAACTTTCTGGAAAAGCAGTTGTGAGCCAAATGGATCAGCTCCATAATTCAGGCTCTCCTTCACACAGTTAACAATCTAAGGCAATAACATTGGCTCAGAACCACGGGCGGATTAACCAATAAGCAAGGTACCCCCAGGCTTACAGTTAGCAAGGTATGCATAAGCATACTTTTGCTTACTTACTAATCTGTAGTGCACAATTTTCGCTTGGGTTTCATCATATCTTTGATGTGCTGAAATTGTGCACTACAGATTCGTAAATAAGCACAAGTAAGCCCATGCATATCTTGCTTATTGGGTAATCCATTCCCCCTCAGAATCAAACACCAAAGTATCTAACATCCCACCCCAGGAGTTACAGCTGAAATCGCCAAATAAAGCAACAGGGCTCCTGGCCTAACCTGTATTTACATAGTTCTTTACCTGAATTCCATCATTCTAAAAGACACCGTGAAATTGAATTACAGAAAATGGCAGAGCACCTAAACGTATTTAGCAAGTACTGTCATCATCCCCAGAATGTATAAGCAGAGTGTACAAAGATCAGTGCAGGAAGGAAATAAGGACATACCCACAAATGGTCAGAAACCCAGCAAAGAAGACTATCATCAGCAAATGAATTCTGGAAAAGAAAGTTTATCTCTGACTACACATCGCCCTTTCCCACCAGAAAGGCTCACAGAAATTTAACATCTCTCTCTTACGTTACAACGGCTTCTCCATACACACCTACCCTTGGTTTTCCATCCCTTCTCAGTCTGTCATCTGAGTGGCTCACTGGGGACAGACTGTCAGGTTACTGACATTCTGGTCACTGATAAGGAAGTAAGATCCCCATGGTCTGACCAGGAGGCACCTTCGACCACCTTCCACTTAAGCCAGATCTTCTATTCTCAGCTCCCTCTCTAGACTTCATGCTATTTTCTCCACGGCGGGATCTTCCTTTCCTACCTTTCAAAAATTAATTCTCTAAGTCTTGGGCCATTACATCATCTGGCTGTGGCCTCCTCATCTCCAATAGCAGCCATCTGATTTAAATATGCTAACTCCACACTTTAAGGAGCCCTGGTGACGCAGTGGTTAAAGTGATCGACTGCTAACTGAAAGGTCGGTGGTTCGAAACCACCAGTGGCTCTGCAGGAGAAAGATGGGCAGTCTGCTTCCATAGAGATTTACAGCCTTGGAAACTCCATGGGGTTGCTATGAGTTGGAATTGACTTAACTACAGTGGGTTTTTTTCTCTTTTTTTTTGGGAACTCCACACTTTAGTAAGATTACCATCTTAACTGGCACAAAACAAATTTCTAGGATACACTTGACCTTTTTAGCAATCTCACCACAAATTATGAGTTAATTCTTTATATAAATCACATCTTCTACAACTTTCACAGAATTTTAGTGCTAGAAGTAACCCAGGGACCGACCACCTGTCACCTGACAGATGAAGACACTGAAGTTCAGAGAGGTTAAATGGCTTGCTCAGGTCACACAGGGAAGGGTCACAACATGTCTGCCTGCTGGGCTGGCTAGGAAGGAATTCAAGCCCAGCACTGACTTCCCTAGAAGGCAGAGGAAAACTCCAGTTATGTGGAGTTTGTTTTTCTGATCCTGAAACAAGTATATACGAATGCATTAAATAGCTCATGGAAAAGTCTCAATTCTACAGTTTTATTGCTTTCCAATCATCAACCCCAAGCGGGCCATGCTCATTCTCCCCTCCCTGATGGGCACCAGGTAACTTAACATTTTGGGAAGACTGCATGATTTTCTGGTCACTTTGAATAGAATGAATGAATATATATATATATATATATATATATATACATTAGCTCAACAAATATTTATTTAACACCCAGTCCTTGGAGAAGAACATCAAGCTTGGTAAAGTCGAGGTTCAGTGAAAAAGAGGAAGAACCTCAATAAGATGGACTGACACAGGGCTGCAACGATGCACTCAACCATAGCAACGGTTGTGAGGACAGCGCAGGACCAGGCAGTGTTTCGTTCTGTTGTACACAGGGCTGGTATGAGTTGGAACCAACTTGATGGCACCTAACAACAACAGGATTCAGAAGGTGCCCTGGGTGGCACAAATGGTTCAGTGCTTTGCTACTAACCAAAAAGTTAGTGGTTCAAACCCACCCACAGGCATCTCCAAAGAAACGCCTGGCAATCAGTTTCCGTAAAGATTACAGCCAGGAAAACCCCATGGAGCAGTTCTACCCTGCAATATACAGGGTCATCAAGAGTCAGAATCGATGTGACAGCAACAGGATGGTTGTTTCGTTTTTATTCTTCCCTGAGGATTCAGTAGGCGTCCCTCTGATGTCCCAGGATACAGATCATCTCCTAGAGACCTCAGTGATCATCTTGTCCAGCCAGACTCCTCAATTTACACATGGGGAAAATGAGTCCCAGAGATGAACAGGGACCAGCGGAAGCCCTCAGTGAGAGTGGCAGGTATGCCCCATGCCTGCTCTGTGCAGCCCCGCCTGAGCAGAGGACTCACCCAAGGCCTTAATCTCTAGTCTCAAAGCCACAGCTCTCTGTGGGACCTCGCCTGCTGCCTGCTTCCTGATTGGCTGGACACCAAGCCTGACCTTGGTCTGGGGCAGGCAGAAGGTGTGCCATCTCTCCCAGAGACTATTTAAGGGCTTAGCCATGCCCTGCTGCAGGGTCAGGCAGGGGACAGGACATGGCAAGTTCCAAGGACCTCTCTGACAGTCCCTCCAGGGACAGAATGAATACATTTTGTACAAAACTCAAATCTCATATCTAATTCAAATTTTTTCCTCATCACTGGCAGGTCTTGGAGCTTACAAATCCCAACGTGGGTAAGACAGGCTTTGCCTGTTCTTCTACTTCTCCTCTGAGCTTCTCCCTGAGTAGGGGGGCATAGTCTATTTTGGGAGTCCCTTATCCCAAATCCAGCTCCTTCATGTGTTTAGTTGGGGAGGAGGGGACAGGAGAAGGACACGGACCTCTTCCTCATCTGGATGCTGTGGAATTCTCTGATGGTTGTCCCTGCTCCTCAGGCCAACACTGATTTGGACCCCGATGCCCTCTGTGTAGCAAGTGCCCAGCCCTGGTTCTACCGTGAACCTGTGTGAGCTCTTTGGAGAGGTGTGTCGGGGCTTTGGGGGAGTTCTCACTGCACAGTTCCTGAGGGGAGAAATCTGGCTCCAGCTTGACTTCTTCCAGCACCCATTAAACTCCCCCCAGGACACACCCACAACTCTTGAGTGGGATGCAGGGGAGAGGGTAAAAGCCCAGCCTCTTTCTGCATGTCCTCGTGACCCACATGCACATATTAATCCTTGCCATGCAGGACACTGGGGGTGCAGGCTGCTCTCCCACCACTCCCTGTCTGCCTGGATAAAAAACCAATACTGGTTGCCACTAAATCAATTCCAACTCGTAGCACCCCCATGTGTGTCAGAGTAGAACTGTGCTCTGTAGGGTTTTCAATGGCTGATTTTTTGGAAGCAGACTGCCCGGTCTTTCTTCCAAGGTGCCTCTGTTGGACTTGAACCTCCAGCCTTTATGGTAGCGGCTGAGCGTGTTAACAATTTGTACTCTCAGGGACTCCCTCTGCTTGGACATCTCCCTCCAGTTCTCTCTTCAGCTCAGGTAGGTTTTAGGAGCATCAACAAAGCTTCTGCCTGCGAGAAGTCCAACTGTGGAAAGAGATGCCAGCTTCCCTTCCTGCAGGCACCCTGGTATGAGCACTCCTCTTAGACCCCTCCTCACTTAGCCTGGAGGGCATGGGGACACAATCTCTCTTGTCTTCTGTGGGAAGGGAGGGAAATGCCTCAGCTCTTTCCACAGAGACTCAGACAATTCTCTGCTCATCCCCAGCACGAATCTTCTGCCTATATGGACTGGAGGCTGACTATGCCCAGGCAGGACTCAATACCCCTTAGTAAATCCTGATGGAGTAACTGGGTGGCACAAATAATTAAGTGCTTGACTACTAACTGAAAGGCTGCCAGTTCGAATCCACCCAGAGGTGCCTCAGAAGAAAGGCTTGGCTGGTGATCTACTTCCAAAAAACCCAATCACTGAAAATCTTATGGAGCACAGTTCTACTCTGAAACACATGGGGTTGCCGTAAGTCAGAATCGACTTGACGGTAACTAGTAGTAAACCCTGAACAGGATGTCTGGCTCGATTTTTGGCAGCTCTCTCTTTAGAATGTGTGCAACCTACTGTTATTGTTAGTTGCCACTGAGTTGATTTCGACTCACAGTGACCCCATGTGACAGAGTAGAACTCCCCCATTGTGTTTTCTAGGCTGTAATCTTACCCATCAGAAAATTCCCACTTAGCATC